AAAAGAGAAGTTCAGAACGTCTTACTGAGGAGGAGGAGAAGAAGAAGAAGTTAGCTTGCGAGAGATCACAAGTTGTAAAATATGAAAGAAACGGTGGATATGTTCAAAATCGTACGACTTGTAACAACATGGTACCATTTTACCAAAAAGAGGAAAGATTAAAGGCAAAGAAACAATCAAATCAATTTAAATATCTCAGTATATTTTTATTAATAACATCAAGATATTCTTTATAGTTACAAGTTTTTTCATTTTATTCACGAATTGTATATTATTGAATAGATTGAATTAAAATATTATTCAACTAACATTTACTATTAATGCAAAATTTTTGAATTCGGTATGTGCATAAAAATTCATGTGTTGTGAATAGGTTTCCGTATTTCGTAAAATCTCAGCAAATTGTAACCTATTGAATGTGTTACATGTGATGTATATGACAATGTTTAGTATACTAGTGACTATTTGTGACTAGGACTTCTCTGTAACCAGGAGTGTGTAAGTCATTATTGGTTGTAACTCGGCCTGTATTGATTGTGATTGTCTTTAATCATGTATGTCTTAATTGTGACTGTATTTGACCAAATCTGTTATAACATTGAATGCATGCGACCAGGTATATTGGAGCTATTATTGTTTGTGACCAGATTTGTGTAAGCTGTTATTTGTTGTGATAAGATGTATCTTAACTTTGATTGTGCGTAATCAGGTTTTTCTTAAATGTGACTGTCATTGAAAATGCATTTCTTAAATGTGATTGCCTATGACCTGATGCGTCATAATTTTGACTATATGTGACCAGTGTTGTCTTGACTGTGGTTGTATGTGATGTTTGTGTTAATAGTATTTTGTGATCTAGTATGTGAACAATGACCTTTTGTAATCAATTTTGTATTAATTGTGACTATTCGAGATATTTTGTGTTAATTATGACTCTCTGTGGTCAAGTTTATGTTAATTGTGACTATCTGTGATCATGTCTGTTTTCACTATGAATGTTTGTGACGTGTTGTTATCTAACGGTGATCTATTGTTGCCTACCAAACTACACAGAGAATTGAAGAGTAAATATTGTTAAGGTTGAAGATTAAACATTGTTGAAGAGTTTATTAATCATAAAATACGCCAGTTTTTTGGATGCTAATGCCATAAAGTGTCTCTTAACACTAGGATCCTCTTTTAGATGCAAAATACCTCATGCTTAAACCATTCATTTCCAACAAATGAATAATCCAGAAATTTATACCCTACTTTAAGAGGAATAAAATAGAGAGCCAAAACCAACACTTACCCTAAATTGGCAAAATCTAGTATTTTCTAGTTTTCATTCTTTTTTTTTTTACGCTATTTGTATAATGACTGAGGGAAGCTTTTTATGAAGTAGCACAATAGCGGAAAAAAAAGAGCACTATTATTTGTGACTTCAATTCGCACTCCATATCGATGAAGGACTTTTCATGTTTGTGTTTCTCTTCTTACTATATCGCAATATCACCGCCACATTCCCTTACCTCAACTACCACCTCTATACTGGAATACATCATGCTTTGAAATGAAAAATTATACCTGCTATTTCATGAATTAACTATAAGGTTTATCAACACAAGCAGAACTAAGTTACTGCTTCTCCAGGTGTAGTCAAGCATTTTGCACAAATACCTTGCATACACAAATTTGTTCAATTACAAACTAAGCAAAGAGTTAATTCTCCAAATAATCACTGAACTTTGCCAAAAGTTTTCTCAGGTCACCGAACTTCAAAACTTCTCTAAATAGTCACTAAACTTTGCCAAAAGTTTCCAGGAGGTCTCCGAATTTCAAAACTTCCCCAAGTAGTCACTAAATTTTACAAAAAGTTTCAAGGAGATCACTAAAATAGTGATGCATGGGGTCCCAATTTGTAAAGTTGAGTGACCCCCTAAGAACTTTTTGCAAAGTTCAGTAACTATTTAAGGAAGTTTTGAAATTCGATGACCTGTTGAAAATTTTTGGTAAAGTTTAGGACTGTTTAGGAAAGTTTTGAAGTTCGATGACCTCCTCGGAGCTTGACAAAGTTCAGTGACTATTTGGGGAATTAACTCCTAAGCAAAACACAATATCTGCCATATAATAACATAATTTACAAACAATATTCCCCAAAGTTTGTAATAAATATTAGGATCATACTACTAGTACAAACTTTTTTTGACAAACTCCCTTACTCACTACTCACAATGGGAATGGGGCCCACAAGCCAACATTTTTTAAATTCACTAGGGATTTGTTAATTTTGTGAGAGTGAGTACACCATTTTGTCAACAAGATTTTGTACAAATATCTTTATTCTGAATATTGAGTTAAATAGGAGGCGGACAAAGTTTTCAACCACACTAACCCGTATAACGAATTTGCAGTGCCACTACCACTAGCACCGCCACCAACAATCCAACACACAAATTCTAGGTTAACATTGGAGCTGAACCCATAGAGCGTGTGGAATGAATCATCATTTCATCAATGATTTTCAAAATCCCAAAACTCCCAAATATGTGCACCATTAACCTAGAGTTACAATTTCAATTCACTTTCACTCACACCTACAATTAACATTTGTATCGACATAGAAGAAGTTGAGAAAGAAAGGAAGTGTAGAGATTGAGAGAGAGAGAGAGAGAGAGAGGTGGAGGGATCGTAGAATGAAAATTAAAGGGATTGTAGAATGAAAAATAAGTAAACTGTTATAATGGTATTGTTTGAAATGATTTGATTTAGGACAATTATTTAATATATTAATCATAATCTAAAGTCTTATTTATCACCTGATTGGTGAAATTACACCACCTTAATTTTGAATTGTATACTTTATACGTAGAGTTTGGGCTAATTTTTTCTAAGGGTCCGTTTCATTGTAAGAATATAATTTAGGTGGAAAGAAAACAAATTCCAGGAAATTGAATTGTTTAGAGCTTGTTTTATTGAGAATTTCCAATTAAATGTGTTTGATTGATATAATTTTTCACCTGAAAAATGTTAAAATTTTGGATCTTTTGATGTTCGTTTCGCTTTGTTTTTCATGAATATTATCAATTAAATGGATATATATATATATATATATATATATATATATATATATTTTTTTTTTTTTTTT